TCTGATTCAGGGTCGGGCAATCGGTTTCGTCATCATCTTCATGCTGCAGGCCGGCCAAGGCCGAACACGACTTGGTGCGTCGTATTTGCCTGTCCTCCTGAGCGCTGTTGAACGCTGCCCGCTTGGACGCCGTGCCGCCAGACCAGCCGAGGGTATTGCTGCTCTCGTTGCAGCAGTAGCTGGCCATGCGATTTCGTCGCCTGAAGCCCTTGACCAGCTGATGCATGGACCGGCTGGTGGGCATGTGGAGGCCCCCATCGCTACATAGGCTGCGATCCGTTTCGTTGCAGTCCCCGCAAATGGTGCCCCTCAGTTCCTTGGTCTCCCAGGTGAGCAACGTCGCCTGCACCGCATTCGGACCCGTCGGGCACAGAGTAGCCGTGAGCATTGTATCTCTGAGCTCTGGCAGCTCACCTTGCTGCATTTTATTTATGTCAGGAAAGTGGAACTGGCTTTGCTGATCCTTGCGCATCGGCGAGGATGGTTGGCTGCTACCAAATATGGCGCGCACCGCATGTGAGTTGGGCAACTGCTGCTGCTGCTGTTGCAGCTGTTGGTGTTGTTTAAAGTCGCGCAAATCTTTCAATGGTGTTGTCTCCGGCGTTGCCTCGACAGCTGCTTCCGGGGGCGAGGAGCCTGTCGCAACAAGCAGCTGCGCGCTGCTGCTGGACGGCAAAATAAACGGCGGCGTGGGCGTCAAGGGTATAGCTGTGCTTCCGGTAGCAGCGGCTATTTCGTTATGTGGACTCCAGATCGGTGTGTTGCCGCTCTCCGCCATCGCCGACTCAAAGCGTCTAGCAGGCACGCCAGTTAGTTGCTGGGTAATTAGCTGATTGCTAATATTGTTGTGCTGTTCGCTGTAAGAGTTGGCTGAAGTCATGCGACTAAAGCTGGGCGTGCTGCACGGATAAGCGGAGTTGATGTCCTCATTTGTTGAATCGGGATGCAGCACGGGCAGCGACAAGTGTGCACACTCCATGACCACATCATGTGGCTCCATTTCCTTCCAACGAGCGTTGCTTACCTCCGTTTCAACGGTGGCCGTTAATAGCATGGGATGCACGCGCACCGTGTCCAGCAATGGTTTAATCGTATGTTGAAAGATGCCGCCCTTGTCCTTCTTGATGAATTCCGACAGATAGCCGAGGAAATTGCACGGATACATGCCATATAGACGATGAAATAGCATTTGCAAACCCAATTGCAAATGCACCAGCTTCTCATCCGGCAGCCTATTCACGTTTTGCGATTTCCATGAGGCCAAATGTCCAAAAACGTCAAACAGATCGTTCAATAGGTTCGGCACAGAGTTCGGTATTATGGGCAGCAGCGTTATTATGCACAGCAGTGCGCTCATCAACGGCACAATATCTTTTTCGTGCTACATGGACATAACGTAAAACGTAAAAGGTTAGGCATACAGATAAAGATGTAAATTCTGGCTATTCACTCACCATTAGCAGCTTAAATACGCTCTTTATAAGGCGATGCTTCTCGATTTTGTGCAACCAGGTGGGATGGCGTCGCACAATGAAACAGAACACATTTAGCGCCTGCACGCGAAACTGTTGCTGCTTGAGCCAATCGTCTAGGCGATCAAATATGTAGCCATCGTGTGGAGGCTGTGCTTTCACCAGCACTTCCATGATGCGCATTGAGCCCGTATTGATGTAGTAGTCCAGCATATAACGCACTGGCCATTGTTCCTTATCTATAGTTTGGGAGTTGGGAAATTCAAATAGTAACTTAATTGATAAATTGCCGATTAACTCACTTTGGGTGAAAAGTTCAACAAGTTTTTTCTTTGCCTCTTCATTCTCGTGCGTTTGATTTGACTCCAACCCGTTAATGATCCTCTCGAAGTCCATTTTAGTGCTTTAGTTCGATTAGAGTAGAAACAGTGGACAGCATGTGGTTGCTTGATTGATTTTTCAGCATTAGCTCCTTACTGCACTTCCACCTGCCGCCTTAGTTTCTCTCCCCTTCAGCTGTAGCTGCACGCTGGCAAGCGCTTTGGTAGTGGCCACCACTCCAAGAACTTTGTAGCCGTCGTCGTCGTCGTTGCTGTCGTCGTCGAAGTTGTCGTGGTCTCTTGGTCGTGTTTTTTTTGTGTTTTCTGCTGCGCTGCGTGTGCTTTTTGCTCTCTTCTTCGTCGTTGTTGTTGTCAACTGATTTACAAAATTTGCATCACATTTTACCACAAGTGTGTTTGCTGTGTGTGTTGCATTGGCCAATGCAATTGTTGTACTTACCTCTGCTAGTTTCATCTTCTTCACATGTTTTCTTTAAGAGGTTATTTCGCGTTTTTCTACATTGGTTTTGCAGTAAGGTTCATCTTTTTCATGTTCTTCCAGTGGAGCCCACTTCGCCTTCGTGCTATTTTGATTTATCGTAAGTACATTAAATATCGGAACTAAACGTGTCTTATCGATAATGAACGGCTGATTCGTGACACGATAACTATTACCATCAGCTGTTCTCAACAGCCTCGTGCTCTCATTGGGGATATTCGCTCTACTAAACGTGTCTTGTTGGTAACGAACGGCTGCTTCGTGACACGATAATTATTATCAGCTGTTCTCAACAGCCTCGTGCTCGCATTGGGGATATTCGCGCTAATTAATTAAAATCTTGCTAAAATTAGCATCCTATTAGTAATCGGCAGTTATTGTTGTAATGTGTTATATAAGATCTCATTGTGTGGATCGAAATTTGAATAATAATACATGTTTAGTTAGTTTTAATAATAGCTCTACAACTTTTCAAAGTTTGAACTTTAGGCTAGGTTTAATTTGTTGCGAATTTTAAAATGAATTCAGTTATTGTTATTGAGATTATATTTTTAGTAATAAAATAGGCAATTAAATTCAAGGTAAACTATATTTCAAATTCCCATTCGATTCCAATCAGCTGTTTCATGTGCAATCGATTTCTTTACTTAAATATTTAGAGGGAGCACCGCTCTTGTTGAGCAGCGCGGCTGATGCTCAGCTGTTGCTCTTATCAAATCTGAACTGGTAAAGGAACACTTGCAATGGGCAGTTATATGGTCGTGCGTCGACTGGCTACGCAGCCCAAATTGGCCAATGCCCCTAAACGGTAGTATATCAATAATTTATACTTCCCTCAACAACTTTAAAAAACCATTTTTGCTTGATGCAGCAAATGGAAGAGCGTCGTTGGCTTGGAGGTGCACGCACAGATTACAAGCGCATCCAAATTGTTCTCGGGCAGCGGCACCGCCTTTGGAGCGCCACTGAACACAGCAGTTACCTATTTTGATGCATCGATACCAGGCACTCTGCCGGTGAGTTTTTTTTGGGTCTCTTTAACTTATTCTTACATGGAATGTATTCTCTTTAAGGTGCTCAATCGCAAATGCGTGGAATCTGGGATAAAAACCGCCTTGGCGCTTTGCTGTCGGGTGAACGAAGTTTCCATGTTTGATCGGAAGCATTACTTTTATGCCGATTTGCCAGTGAGCATTGAAAATTCGTCACATCGGGTGCAATGTAAACATTTTTCATTCTTTAAGAACGGCTACCAAATTACACAACAACGCGCTGCTTTGGCGAACGACGGTCTGATGACATTCCCAGTCATAACGCCTGGCAAAAAGGTGTACTATAAATCTGTCAATCTGTTACAATTGCAACTGGAGCAGGACAGTGGCAAATCGTTGCACGACGAGCAGCTTAAAAGGAGCCTCGTTGACCTGAATCGTGCTGGTGTGCCATTAATGGAGCTGGTATTTGCGCCAGATTTGGAGACTGGCGAGGAGGCAGCCTCGTTGGTGAAGGAACTGGTGCTTATACTAAGACGACTGCAAACCTGTAGTTGTAAAATGGAAGGTAAGTGCCCGAAAAAATGTCCAAAATGCTTCTACGAGTGCATATTTATTTGCAGAGGGTGCACTGCGCGTGGATGCGAATATATCTATACACGAAGAAGGCGCTCCTTTGGGTGTACGCACAGAGGTTAAAAATATTGGCTCCGTGCGCAGCATATCTCAGGCAATTTCATATGAAATCAATCGACAATTGGAGCTCGTTGCCGAGGGCGGTGTGGTAACAAATGAAACGCGTTCCTGGGATGCAGAGCATAGACGGACCATTGCAATGCGTGATAAGGAGGTGCTGCAGGATTATCGCTTCATGCCGGAGCCCAATTTGCCGCCGTTACATGTTAATCTTAAGCCGGGCTCGGTGTCAACCAAAGAATTAATATCGGTAGCTGCCCTAAGTAAGGAAATACCTGAATTGCCGGAGCATACGCGTCAACGCCTTGTGGAACATTACAAACTAAATGCAGAGACAGCCATCATTTTGGTGGTATGCTCCTCCCACTCTTTAATATTTGATAAAACTCACCTTTTTTTATTTAAAGAATGAGCCTGTCCTGTTGGAGCATTTCTTAAACATTACCGAGAGTCTGGCAGATGTGCCAACCAAAGTAGTTACAAATTTTCTCATTAACGACTTGTTAACTTACTGCAACAAGCTTAACCTGGACATCGAAGATTAGTATGCGCACCTGATATCTGATTGTACCAAATGCTGATTTAATTTCATATTATTTTTAGCACCACAAGCGCCAATGCTTTGAAGGATGTCTTAAAGGCGCTGCATGCAGAACAAATCAATTTACAAGCAGCCCGCCAACTTATTCAGCTTTTACATACAAACCCAACTAGCTCAGTTAGCGAAGTATGAATATCGACACAATTGGCAGCTACAACTTTTTGATATCATTTGATTTTATTTTGCAGCTCGTTGGGCAACACAATCTGCAACAGATTTCCGATCTCGCCACCATTGAGGCCTATTGCCAGCAGGCAATTACGAACCAGCCCAAGGCCGTGCAGCAATACCAAAAAGGCAAAGCCAAGGCACTTTTTGCCATTGCTGGCGAAGTGGCCAAGCTCTCGGCGCAGAAGGCGAACATGAAAATCGTTGTTGAGTGTTTGGAAAAGGTGCTAAAAAAATAAAGGAAACGCACTGTTAAAGTGTTATTGGACGTGTTTATTTTTGTATATTTAATAAATTATGCTGTAAGTTCTTGAACACATGCTGTATTTAGTTTAGTTAAGTTAAATGTTGAATGTGCATGACAATATTAATGCATACAATGTTATATAAATTATTATGTGATCGATTTATAGCTCATATATGATATATGTGTAGTTCTGTGCTCTCCTGCCTGTCGAGGAGAAGCGGAACTTGTGACCCTTTAATGTATAATAATTGTAAATTATGCTTGTGTGTCATATATGATATATGTCCAAATTCAGGAAAAACCAATTAAATGCGAAAAAATGGAACGCACTATATTCGATTGTCTATCAAGGCAGACAATGAACAGCTAGAATCGTATTTGAAGCTCTTCAAGGGTTGCGAATGGTCAACTAAATAACGCGATTTTAAATATGTTTTTTTTTATCATGATTTTTGTAATCTTAAGCGTTTGCCTCTAAAATAAATGCACGTATTTATCCATACGCTGGCAGTTAACGTTACGTCTTGGCGGGATCAAGTTACCAGATGACAACGCGATTGCACTTTCCATTAATCGCGATCGTAATCACGACACGTTGACGGCGGTAGGCTCATGGATACTGCAGAGTCCAAGCTAGAATATAGATATAGATATAGATATAGATATAGATATAGATATAGATATAGATATAGATATAGATATAGATATAGATATAGATATAGATATAGATATAGATATAGATATAGATATAGATATAGATATAGATATAGATATAGATATAGATATAGATATAGATATAGATATAGATATAGATATAGATATAGATATAGATATAGATATAGATATAGATATAGATATAGATATAGATATAGATATAGATATAGATATAGATATAGATATAGATATAGATATAGATATAGATATAGATATAGATATAGATATAGATATAGATATAGATATAGATATAGATATAGATATAGATATAGATATAGATATAGATATAGATATAGATATAGATATAGATATAGATATAGATATAGATATAGATATAGATATAGATATAGATATAGATATAGATAAAGATATAGATATAGATATAGATATAGATATAGATATAGATATAGATATAGATATAGATACAGATATAGATATATATAAGATAATGCCTAGATTGTCGAACATGTCCGACTAGAAGATACCCTGTACCCAGCTCCGAAGAGCACTTTGAGTTACGAATCACGATATCTTTCACAATTTTATAAATAGACTAATCAGCTTTGGAATGAAGATTGAAGGATATTGATTTCTATTATTTCTTATTTTTTCTTCTATTTTTGGAGAAGTAAACTCTACCTAATTTAGTGTACCAAGCTCTTATGATGTACTCTAAAGCGGAAAATAAAGTACCTGGCACATTAAATTAATATTCGGATCGCTTTTAGAGGGCAACAAGAGAGAGAGAGAGTAACGTCGATTTACTGGATATTAAAATGTGTGTACTTTTGATACAATATAAAAAAATTATCTAAAAAAAAAGATTTACTAGATGCTAATCAAGATTATATTTACTTATTTTGCGTTTGCCTGCTCCTAAAAGCTTGCTATAATTATGTCGTAAATGTTCTGATATAGGAAATCTTTAAATGTTATTATTGCTCTTTAATGCATCTGACATAAAATAGTAATCGATTAATAAGCAGAAGGAATAGTCTTAATATTTTAAATGATTAGATAATAGTTAAAATTGACTTTAATCTTAGGCCTAAATCTCCTAGTCCTAAATGATTGATGATCAAACTATATATCAGATATATAGGATAGATAATAGAAACAGTTCTAGGCTTATATTTTTTTTTGTACATACCGTCTGCTTTCGCTTTCCAGCAAATGGGCATCCACGGGATGCTGGGAGACGTTGCGCAGGGAGTCGCCCAATGTGCTGCGCAAATGTTGCATCTCGCGATTGGCCTTGGAGCTGCGCAGGATGTATTGCTGTCGCCGCTTGGCCTCCTGAGCCAGTTGCTCGCGCAGCATGGAAATCTGTGGAGCTCAGTTGAAGATCTGTTGTGCTTATGGAAATGGACTTGGTTCACTCACCTGGTTCTCGAGGCGCAGCACCTGCTGCTTGTGCGACTGCTCGCGGGCGTCGAGCAGCTTCTCGGCATGCATTTGGGCGCTGCGATAGCGATCCGTGTCCAATCCATCCGAGCACTTGGCGGTGTCATGCATGCGCGCTTTGCAGCGCGCCAGCTCCGATTCCTTTTCCGCGAGCAGCGTCTCCAGGCGACGCACCTTCAGGCGCAAGTCGCGCGTCTCCTGCTCAATGATGCTGTGATCCAGGCCGCAGCTGTAGGCTGCCCCAGGACCGACATCATAGCGATTGGAGTCATATTCACCAGCATCCCCGGCGCCGCCATAATAGGAGCTCGCCTTCTCGGCACGATCGTAGGCGCTGCCCCCAGCGAATTTGCTCTTGCGGTCGGACTCCAGCTGCTTGACCTTGTCCTGCAGCGTTTGCAGTTTGCTGCGCAGCTCCGATTTCTCGCGCTGCGACGATTTCAGCTGGCGACACAGCTCCTCCTCCTCGCCAGCGCCGCCGCCGCCGGCGCCTCCATTCCCGCTGTTCAATCCCTTGTCGCCGTTCTCCTGATTCCACTTGGCGATGCGCAGCTGCGACTCGAGCGCCGAGCGCTGCACCTCGAGATCGGTGACCTGCTCCTGCAGCCGCTGGTTGCCATCGAGCTGCGCCTGCTGGCTGCGTCGCAGCTCGTTGAGATTGGTCTGGGCGCTGTCCAGTCGCTCGGTCAGGATGCGCTTCTCGTTCTCCGCCGTTTGCAGTGACTTCTGCAGCAGCTTCAGCTTGTCCTCGTTCGTCTGGCTGCAGTGACCCTGCTCGGAGAGCTCCTTCTGCAGCGTCTTGATCTCGCCCCGCAGCTGCGTCTCGCTGACGGCGCTTTTTTGCAGGCGCTCCTTGAGCTGATCCACGGTGGATTTGAGCGAGGTGCAGCGATCCTCCAGCTGGGTCATGGCGCGATTCTGGTTGTCCAGTCGCTCCGACACCTGCCGCACGTGGCACTCCTTCTCCTGGAGCGCCATTTGGAGGCGCGCCAGGTCGCCCTCCATGGCGACGCGCTGCAGATCGAGCTTGCTGGCGCGTCCCTCCACCTTGGCCAGCTCCTCCTGCAGCGCACGCTTCTCGCTGTCCAGCTTGCCGCACACTTGACGGCACTTCTCCAGGCGCTCCTCGTTCTGGCCGTTCTCCTCGGACGTGGCCGCCAGCTGCATCTCGGTCTGGGCGAGCCGCTCGCGCAGCATCTGACATTCGTCCGAGCGCTGCTTCAGCTTCTCCTCGAGCGCATTCAGCGCCGAGATTTTCATCTTGCGATCCGTCTCCAGATTGCTGCGCTCCTCCTGCAGATTGCGCAGCACGGCCTGCAGCTTGCCCAGCTTGGCGTCGCAGCGCAGCTGCTGCTCGGCGGCGTCCTGCAGCTGCTTCCGGGCCGCGCCCAGCTGCGATTTGTAGTCGTCCTTTTCGCGCTCCAGCTGGGCCACCTGATGCATCAGGTTGCGCACGCCCTTGCGCACCAGATCCGGATCGACATCGACCGGCGCATCCGGACACTGCGACGTGCTGCGCGTATCGTAATCCCCGACGCTGCGCGAAGGACTAAACCTTCGCGATGGACTCAGCAGGCGATGGGATAGGTTGACGCTGCCGTCCACCTGGATGCCCGCGATGCGGCGCAGCGTGTGCACCACGGAGCTCAGCTTGTGCTCCGTGTCGCGCTTGTGCAGCTCCACGCAGGCCAGCTGCTCGTCCAGCGCCCGGATCCGGCCCTCGGCGCCGCCCAGGCGAGCCTTGAGCTCCTGGATCTGCTGTGTGGCATCCGCTAGGCAGACCTCCAGATTGTGCTTCTGGTCCTCCAGGCGTTTCTCGCGACCGCGCGCCTCCTCCATGCGCGCGGCCAGCTCCTGTTCGCGCGCATGGAAGCGATGCTCCTCCTGGTTGTTGTGACAGCGCGCACGGCCCAGTTCCTGGCGCGTCGCGCACAGATTTGCCTCCAGATCCGACAGCTGTTTTTTGATCTGGCACAGTTCCTGTTGCGCCCGCTCCTTGAGCTCCGTTTCCGCCGCCAGCTTGCTCTGCAGCTCCTTGCCGCCCTCGTCCTTCTGGGCAAACTCCAGCTGCGTCTTATGCAGCTGCGACTTGGTTGCGCCCAGCTCCTGCGTGGTCTTCGTGAAATTATTCTCCGTCTCCTTCAGTATGGTGCTCACACGCGTTCGCTCGATTTCCAGCGAGTTCTTGGTCTCCTCCAGACTGTTAATCTTCTGCAGCGCCTCCTCAATGGCACGCGCCTGCTCGCGCTTGGCGCTCTCCACGCGCTTCACATGATCCCGCAGCTCCTTGTTGCTGGCGGAGTACTTGTCCCGCTCGATATTACTGTCCGCCAGCTGCCGCCGGCTGTCTGTGAGCTCCTTGCGCAGGCTGTCGATGTAGCCCTCACCTGAAAGATCACAACAACATATTTAACTAGGAGGGATAACATGGATTTGCCGGAGGTAAGGGTATGGAAGAGATCTCAATAATCCCATTCCACAGAAACTTTTCCGATCAACTCAGCAGCTTCTCGGAAACTGGGAATAGAAGGGAAGAATTAACCTACTCAGAAATTGGGAATAGAAGGAAAGAATTGAACTACTCAGAAACTGAGAATAGAATGGAAGAATTAATCAACTAAGACACTGAGAATATAATGGAAGAATTGAACTACTCAGAAGCTGGTTATAAGAGGGAAGAAAGGAGCTACTCAGAAACTGGGAAGAGAAGGAAAGAAATGATCTACTTAGAAACTGAGAATAGAATGGAGGAATTGAGCTACTCGGAAACTGGGAACAGAAGGGAGGAATTGAGCTACTCAGAAACTGGGAAGAGAAGGGAAGAATTAAGCAACTCGGAAACTGGGAATAGAAGGGAGGAATTGAGCTACTCGGAAACTGGGAATAAAAAGGAAGAATTGAGCTTATGAATGAAACTGGGAATAGAAGGAAAGAATTAAGCTACTCAGAAACTGGGAAAAGAAGGGAAGAATTAAGCTACTCAGAAACTGGGAAAAGAAGGGAAGAATTGAGTTATTCGGAAACTGGGAACAGAAGGGAGGAATTCGGCTACTCGGAAACTGGGAAACTGGGAAACTGGGAAGAATTGAGCTTATGAGAAACTGGGAGAAGAATGGAAGAATTAAGCTACTCAGAAACAGGGAAAAGAAGGGAAGAATTGAGCTGCCCAGAAACTGGGTAAAGAAGAAACTAAACTAAAACTGGATTGACAATGTAGGGAAAAGAAAAGCTAAAGGTTTCTTTTACCCAATAACAGACGCTCCTTACTTATAATAAAAAGTTGACTAAAACTTCTTATCGGGCTATCTCAGCGGACTTTTACCCAGAAATACCAGCTCAAAAAAAAATCAGAAACTATCTGACTTCGACAAAATGCAGATTTGGGAAAGGGAATTTAGAGACATCAGAGCAGGTTCCATGACGCTGCAGACGTAGATCCCAACAGCTAGGAAAAGGATTATCCTTTTTCTTCCTACAAGATTTGGAAAAATAGCCCCAGAAAAAGCCACAACATGCAGTGGGTGTACCTGTCTAATAATAATACCTGTACCTATCCACAAAGATTGTTTGGATTGACGCCTAAGACGACTTTTTACAAAAGATCTTTGAAATATTGTCCATTTAGGGCCGTTTTGGGAACAGATTCAAAATCGATGAAGCAAGTCTTTAAATTTGTCTAAATAGATATCCGATTGGGATTGAAGCCAAAAGTTAGAAAATTAAATTTTTAAAAACAATTTTCCGTCTCAGATTTTTTCTTAAACCCGTTGTCCTCAATATTGAGGAATCATCCTAACGGGTGAAATTTACAAAATTCCCAGCTTTATAATTTGGATCCTACGTCCTCAATATTTTTACTGTTGATCACCAATCAGTCAATCAGTCAATCACTCTATCATTCAGTCAGTCAATCAGTAAGTTTGATATTTATAGAAAGATTTGTACCTTCTTTGGTCTTTCGCAGCGCATCCTGCAGCTCATTGTTGGTTGCCTCCATTTTGTCCTCCTTGAGACGGATTTCCATTTTGAGCTCCTCGCTCAGCCTGGACAGAGTTTCGCGCTCCTCCCGCATGCTGTTCAGCTGCAGCTCCTGCTTCCGTATGCACTCCTCCAGTTTGATCCTGAAAGGAATATAGATAACAGATTAAAGATGCATAAATGCGAGATAAATGGATGCTGGGCTTACTTGTGCTCCTCATCCCTGGTGCGCATGTGCACGATCTCATCCTTGAGCGCGGCTATGGCGCCGCGTTGCTTCTCGTCGCGGGCGTTCGCCTCGCGCTTGCTGCGATCCAGCGCCTCCTGCTCGGCCTTCAGGTCGCGCGAGACCGCCTCGAGACGCTCGGCGACCGCCTGCTTGTCCCGGTGGGCCATGAGCAGCGCTTGCTGCTTCTCGTTCTCGGCGCGGATCAGGGTCTCCTCGTGCTGCTGCACCAGGCTCTCGATGTGCGCCTGTAAGGCGGCGAGGCGTTCCTGCAGCTTCTCGATCTCGTCGTCCTTGGCGGTTTGCAGTGCCTGCAACGCCTGCTGCATGCGCTTCTCCAGGGCGTTGCGCAGCTGGAGCACCTCGTCGCCATGTCGCTTCGAGGCATCCTCGGCGGCCGCCTGCAGATTGGCGATCTTCTGGCTGAAGTCGTTCTCGGCAGCGCGGGCCGCGTTCAGCAGCTGCGTTTTAGTCTCCTGCGCCTTGCGCTGGCACAGCTCCAGTTCCTTCTGCAGACGAGCCACATGATTCTTGAGGGATTCCTCGCGTACCAGCGCCTCCTGGAGGTCACGTTCCAGCTGGCTGCGCTTCTCCTCGACGGCCTCCAGAGTCGTATTCGTGTCGAAGAGCACCGTCTCGAGGGATTCCTTCTCGGAGCGCAGGGCAGCCAAGAGTTCGTTGAGGCGATGCGTGTCCTTTTCATGCAGATCAATGACCACCTGCTTCTCCTCCACATCCTTGACCATGTCCTCGATGTTGCGATTCAGTCGATTGTTCGTCTCCGTCGTCTGCTCCAAGCGCTGACGGCAGCGCATCAGCTCCTCGTTGAGGGTCTCCTTCTTGCGGCACATGGCCGTCAGCTGGTTGTGTATATCGCATTTCTCACGCGTCATGCAGGCCAGATCCTGCAGGATCTTCTCCTTTTCGAGCTGCAGACACTTCAACTTCTCGCTATACGACAGATTGTCCGTTTCCAGCTCGAGCCGTGCCTTGTCCAGCACGGCCAGCTCCTTCTTCAGCTCGCCAATTTCTCCAGCCTGATCCGCCGCCTGGAGGCGCAACTTCTTGCGCTCCTCCTGGGCCTCCAGCAGGCAGCTCTGCACGGACTTCAGCTCGTCGCTGGTGGAGCTGTTGTTGTTGGACAACTTCTCGTGCTTCTCCTGCAGATCGCATTTGTCCAGCAGCAGCTTGTCCAGGTCGTATTCCAGATCGCATTTTTGCTTCTCCAGCAAATTAATCAAATTGTCCGATTCGATGCGCTGCTGCTCCAGAAGATCCCGATTCAGGCTGACGCGGTTGAGCTCCTCGCGCAGGGAAATGGTCTCCTCCCTGAGGCGACTGCTGCGATCCTCCTCGGACCTGTCAAGGAATAGTTGGATACTGTTTATCCAGCTGGAAGTGAAAGGGGCAACAGCTTACCTCAGATTCAATTCGGTGATGTTCTTGTCCTTGAGTATGCGCTGTATCTCCAGCTCCACGGCCTTTTTGTCCTCCTCCATGGAATCGATTCGTTTCTGCAGCTTGCCATAATTCAACTGCAACTTCTCAAAGTCTCCGCTCAAATTCTCAAACTATAATAGAAGAGTTTGTTTTAATAAGTAGCTAATATTTCCCGACATTGCCAGGTCATAAGTTTGTGCTGAAAGTCTTAGACAACAATTTTCCAAACATTTTCCGCACGTGAAAACCTCTAAAGGTATATCTCTGTATATAATACTGTTTGTACTAACTGACTGACTGACTGACTGACTGACTGACTGAATGACTGACTGACACAACGCACAGCCCAAGCCGTAAGAGCTAGGATGCTGAAAGACGTGGTTTCAACAAATTCCACCCGCAAGTGTGGAAAAATCATGGAATTTTTACCCTCCTTTCGGCCTCAACTCATTTTCAAAGATTTTTGCTCAAATTCATTTGGCGGGTGTTTTACACTTTTCGAAAAATCCATTCCTCCTTGGTGGAAATTGAGGTCAATGATTTGGTGGGTGACGTTTCGTGTTCAAATTCATTCCCAAGGAAAATGCGATTCAACTATTATTTGCGCGAAGTTAAAGTTTTGTCCGATTTGCATAAAACTTATAATCAAAGCTCTACATAAGATGATTTGGGAAATTCCACCCGCAACAGTGGTAAATTGGCGGAAAACAATTGTATGAAAGTTATTTGTTTACCGTCCGATCGGTTTAAAACTCTTTAAATGTGAATCTGAAAGAAAATTTCTAACAAACCCCTTTCAAAATGAATTTGAGGCCGATTGGATATTAAACAGAAATCCGTTTTCCGCGATATTTTCACACTTGCGGGTGGAATAATCCAAAAAGGAAACGACAGCAAAAATTTCAATTTCCTAGATCTAGATATCGATTGGGCTGAGCCTTAGCAACCAATCTGTTTGATTATTAATTCAAGTAGAATTATTATTTTTATTTTTTACCAGAGATTACAATTGCCGAGAGGCTGCTGTGAACTTCAGATAAGACATTATAAGATGCTTGGGCTAGCTTAGGGACTCGAACCCGGATCCTACTTGTTCAGCTGCCATAATGTCTCGGTCATTTAAGACCGCATCGACCAGGAACGAGACGCAGCATAAACAAACAAATAAATACGTGTAATTGATTTTTGTCGAGACGGCGAAACAAACAATCTAATCAGCTGACTGTACCCAACGCTTGCACACGGACTATCTGCATTAAATCTAGTATTGAATACACAGAAGAGGTCGAAAGTAAGTATAAATAGCACGACATCTATTAATAAAACCCTAATAGGTTTAAAAACAAAATTGCACCTAGTAACCCAGTCTGTTTAATACTTCAAACAAAATATATAATTGGAAGAATTTTCGGAGAAAATGTTGAATTCTTTTGTTTATCAATTAAACATTATTTTCTTGAAGAAAGGTTGTCTATCTTGACTTTTGTCGCAAGCTACGGGAATTGACAGGAGACAGAAGGCGTCTAAGAAGGTTCACTTGACCTTGGCCTCTATAATCTGTAGTCTAAACTTATCTTAACTTATTTTATTATATTTAATGATCAATCATATCTATATAGTATACTAGCGGGTATACCCCGGCGTTGCCCGTGCTACATATAAAATCAATAAACCAAGAGCCAAGGAAATCAAGGAAATCAGATCGGATTTCAGCGAGTTATGGGAATGGGAAATTTTGACCTATGTCTACCATCTATAGGATATTTGTGGCTACCATCTTTACATGAAATTTGACCAAGAATAATGTTGCCAAATTTAGATGCCAAAGTGATCCAGAGGTCAAACCATGAACAAAACCCCAAGTCTTATGAAAATCGGTTGAGTTTTGACCGAGTTATGGTAATTTCAACCTGGCACGTTTGTAACAAATTCTCTCACAGATCTTGAAAATGATTTTAAAGCCGATTGGATGGTAAACAAAAAACGTTCACACAACCGTTTTCCGCCAATTTACCACAGTTGAGGGTGGAATTACCCAAATCGCTGAAACACGTTTTGATTAAGTTTGAAAATAAGTTCGCAGCAAATTGGACAAAACTTAAAACTTCATCAAAAAAATGTTCGAATTTTTTAAAATGTCATACGCTATCTTTCCGTTATATCACCACTAAATCACGTATTTATACAGTTGCCAAGTAGAGCCTTTAAAATAGGTTGGCAATGTTTCATATAATTATATTCCATCAAATTTTCATAGTAATCGCGGTCTGTCAGTTAGGATAAATAGTTATATATTGAAAGTTGAACTGCGTACCTAATGCTTGCTGGTTCAACGCTCAGACATCTAAACAACACAGTCTAATGGAGTCACGTTTGCAAGCCCAATTATTTTGGCTGAGCTGCTTTTGATGTTTCTTATACGAACTTTGACCTCAGTTTTTCCACACTTGCGGGTCGAATATTCCATATTCCCCGCAGGGAAGTTTTCGAAAAAATATCAGCTTTCGCAGAGGAATATATTCAAAAGGTTTAGCTTCAGCTAGAGACTATTTAAGGTGTTGAATATATAGTTAATTATTTACTCTATTATTATCTCTCTCTCTCTCTCTCTATTAAATCTGCGTTGAATATATAGATAATTATTTACTATTTCTACCAAAGCTGTCAAAAGACACCATTTAAATTTTTTAATTAAAATTGAAATTATTTTCTAAGTTGAATAATTTTTTTTCTAAATTTACTTTTTGATAATTCATTAATTGAATGTTCAATTAATTTAGTGGCAGCATAATTCTCGACAGCAAAAAAAAAGAGAATAATAATTAACAACTTTTTCCTCTCTGATTAGCTAAGGTGTCAAAAGACACCTTTTGGTTGAGATTGATAAATAAATAAAAAAAAACCTTGGTAGAAATCGTGTTAAATCCTATACTTAAAATCTGGTAAATATTTGATTTGTGCACTTTTGCATGCGAAGATTGTTTGTCGTTTGTTTTGGGCTTATCAGCGGCTGTTATCACCTTTTGGCTGTTATCACCTTTTGGCACCCACACTTACCGCATTATTCAGATCCGCACGACCCATTTCGGCTTGCTGTTTCTGGGTTCTGACATCGTCGAGCGTCTTCTGGAGACTCTCGCGCTCCTGCAGCAGCTCGGATAGCTTCGAGTTGCTGGCATCCAACTTCTCCGTTAGCTGCTGCATTTTGCCCGTCAGGAGCTGTTTGGTGCCCTCGCTTGTGTCCAGCTGAGATCGGGTGCTGCGCAGCGTCTCCGTGCTCTGCTGGCACTTGACCTGCATGTCGTGCAGGGCCAGCTGGTATTTGTGGAGCGCCGCCTGCACCGCCGAGATGGTGCCCTCGGCGAAGGCCAGCGAGGCGCGCGTCGAACTGCGACGCGGCGATTTACCCCCTCCTCCTCCTCCGCCACCGCCTCCTCCTCCCCCGCCTCCATAACGCGTTAGATGCATGTGCTGCATGGCACCGTTGACCTCGGCGTCTGCCTCGCGATCGGCGATCTCGGCGTCTTGGACGACAGCCTGCGCGATTTCGCGCATGGAATTGTTCAGTCGCTCGATTTCATCATTATAGCGATTAGCCAGCGCCGCCTGCGATTCGGCCTGTGCGCAGCGATCCTCCAGCTTTTTGAGCTGATTCATCAGCTCGAGCAGCCGCTGATCACGCTCCATGATCTCGTGCCGGGCGCTCTCATGCTGCACCTTGAGCGTGGCCAGCTGGGCCTGCAGCTCGTCGTTGAGGCGGCGCGTCTGCCTCAGCTCCTCGTCGGCGGCGCGCTTGGCCTGCTGCTGGCCAAATGCCACCGTGGAGCTGGAGCTGTTGATGTCCTTGGCGACGCCATTGATCTCCTGGCCCATTTTGGCCACCTCGGCCTTCATGGCCGTCTGCATGTCCTTGAAGGCGCGCTTGACCGCGACCACCTCGCGCCACATCTTCAGCAGCCGGTTGTGCTCGCTGTTGTAGTAGTCCTTGAAGGCCTGCTCCTCCTCCTTGAACTCATCCTCCTTGATGAGCAGCTCGTCGCGCATGCTCGCCCAATCGTTGGTCAGCTTTTGCAAGTCATTCGTTAGCGCCTCGTTGGTGCGATTCGATTCCTCCAGCTGCTGGCGCAGTGCATTATTCTGGGCCACAATCTGCTCGCAGCGATTGTGCTCCTCCTCCAGCTTGCGGCACAGCTCGCTGCTGGCATCGTCATGCAAGTAATCACGTCCGCAGCTCGGCGGTGGCGAGTCTAGCGAAGAGCTGCACGGCAGGCTGCTCTGACCCAGGGTCAGCGAGGTCGAGCACTATTCACAAAGATAATCACAGAGACAATCATCATTTCAATTATGCCAAACAAAATGTAAGCAATTAAAAGTGCTCTTGTAGAAAATTGCTTGACTTGGAATACCCTGCAGCCAGGTTACTCAGGTCATGAAAATCGCATAGAAAGGCGATTTTAGGAAGTGGAGTTAATCAATGGGAGAGTCTTAGAGTAGAGCGAGAAAGATTTAGAGAGAGGGCAAGAGATTTATTGGAAATGACAGAGATAGTAAGTGAGTCTGAGAGTCATGAGAATCGCATAGGAAGGCGACTACAAAAATTTGTTATTCCATCTCTTATAGTCCATGAGCAAGTTTCGGAGTGAGAGTGAGAGAGTAGGAGTACATGTACATCTATTAATATAAATTGAGGGCATGAAAATCGCGTAGAAAGGCGATTTTAGGTAATGAAGTATATTAATGGGGGAAGTAAAGAATATAAGTATAAGATTAAGAGCGAGAAAGATTTAGAGAGAGGGCAAGAGATTTATTGGGACAGAGATAGGGATAGAGAAGATTCGAGAAACTGACAGTGCTGAGAATCGCATAGGAAGGCGACTGCAAACTTTTATATTCGAGCTAAGGTCGCCAAGTTCATGCAGACAAACGAATAGCCAGGTAGACAGACAGACATATGGACCCATAGACATCTCTTGTCTGAGCTTGACAGGACGTCAGGAGATTAACGTGATGATTCCTTCAATGCGTTAATCTATTAAATCATATTTATTATATCTTGTGTCAAACAAATAGGGAATATGATTTTATGTGAGATTTCCCTAGGGTAAATCAACAGATCCTGTTTTAGATGATTCGCTACTTACCAGCACCTGACTGGCAGTTGGTCCCGTGGTCAACTTGGGTGCACATGGTCCCGTCGTGGTTGTCGGCTTGATGGTGTCGTGCATGCGCTCCTCGAGATCGCTGCAGCGCTGTCTGTACTGCTGGATCTTCGACTGGAGGCGGCTGACGAGATTGGCCTGATTGTGTTGGGCCTGCTTGTACGTGTCCAGGCGCTTGCGATAGCTGTGCGACTCATCGGCCAGGCGCTGGCGCAGCTCCTGGTTCTGACGGAGCAGGGCATCCGCCGTTCCCGGCGGACCCGGTGCCGGGCTCAGCATTCTTGGCGTGATGCCGCCGGAGCCGTTGCTCGTGCTGTTGTTGTTGTTGTTGTTGATTGTGTTGCTGGTCGTCGGCTCGCCACGCCCACGTTGGCGGGAGAAGGGCAGACGCGTGGAGGATGTGGCTGGCAGGTCGACGGCCGACGGGCAAGGCGTCTGCTTGAAGTTATCGCGATACGCTTGCATCTGAGGAAGGGAGGGGGAAGAACCAAAAGGGGTAGAGGGTATGTTAAAGTCGGTTTGTGATATTGTTTGCGGTTTGCGTGTGTGCGCGCGGAAACTTTTGCGGAACTTTGCCGCCTACGCCTAAATGCTCGATAACTTTGTCCAAATTGATTTATTAACTCCGTGCTCCGTGGGCGGACTCCTTGCCCATATCCTCCCGTCCGTCCGTCCGTCCGTCCGACCGTTAGGTCGCCATGACAGCCAGGCGGAAGGCGAATTATATTTCTATGCTTGTGCCTCATAAATAAACAAGCTCCCCTTTATTTTTTTATCATCGACTCGAATGATATTTCCAATGCGAAACATCAACCACTTGACAATACAATTCCCCAACTGGGCTGACACCGTTTGTCACCAGGTTACGTTTCCCCAGCTATCATCATTTCCTTGTCCTCGTATTTATATTAATAAACAAAAAATGTTTTTTTTTTAGATTTTTTATGTAGCTCGTTGTTGAAACTTCTTTCGACACGAATGAAGTCTTCCGTTTTTCACATTACTTGGGTCGTCTTCTAATTTTGTCATGCTTTGCCATGCAATCGGGCTCTAAAAGATTTAGTCCTAACTATTTTTGTACAGCCTGACAACTCCAATTGGGGTCGACATAAAGGCATAATCATAAAACTGTCATACATATATAAATTTAATGGAGCTTCCTACTTAATACACTATTCAAAAAAGTCGAGTTGTCAATTGTATTCGTACCCATTAAATATTATGATAATGGAAAGCGATAAGACTTCTCCTAATCTCAAAGATATACAATTTTGGACTACTTCCATGCGAGCTCGCCAAATTTATGGAAAGATTTCTTCGAATATAGCCAAGAGTTATTTCCTCTCTTTATGATATTAAGCTTATCGGATGTATATAAAGTATATACTCTATAAATCATGCTTAGACTTTTTTCTCTGCCTGCTTTAAAATTTTTTAAGATTTGATACCAAAGAGAGATAGAAAATGCCCATTATTACATGATTACATGTTTCATAGTAAATTTAACTAAACAAATTTATAATATTTGCTGATTAATGAAAAAAGTCTTTAAAATAGCTCCTACTCAACAGGTTCATCCGCTAGATATATATTTATTTATAATTAATTTATGAATTAATATTACACCAAGCATATTTATACAATTACAAGGCTGAAACCTCGGTTATTGCTAGATTTTGGGGCCTCAGATAAAGAAAGTATTGTTTGTTTTTTTCCAATGATTAACTTTTTATAATATAATTTTTTAAGTTTAGCGGACTTTTTCGGCATTTTTCCTATATTATTTCATATATGTGACTATAGCCTGGTCAAATCCCAACCTATTTTAAGGATCGTAATATCTATGAAAATGTAATTATAATAAAAAATATGTGATATTGTTTGCACTTCTAAACTATAGTTTGTTATTTTAGGAATATTGTCTTTTTAAAGAATTTTCTAGTGTTATTTTGAATTTAAAATTCAAGGAAAGTAAAAAATCTGGTATAATGATTCGCTTGAAATACGGACAAATAAGCTTTTGCTTGTTAAAATCAAAGAATAAACGAATAATTTAAAGACATTTAAGTTAGCTTTAAAATCGATTAGGATTTACGAAAGTTTTGCTTACATACATTAAAAAATCTTTTTCAAAAATGTTTAGCAAAGAAAAAAAAAAATATTTTCGTTATAAGGGGCTGCCAATCTAGCATCAAAACTAAGGTTAGGAAAATAAAAGTTTGTTGAATAGTGTTAAGCGAAAATTGATTATCAGGAAATAACTCTTGACAGCCGGATATTAGGATCCCATTTTAATTAATGGAGGGCAAATATCAAAAAGTTTTTCTGAACAAATTCAATATATAGATTCATAATGAATTGATAGATTAGATATATGAGCTAATCTTATGAATAGAACGGAGAAGAGATATATTTGCGCGTACAGATTGTCAAAATTCTGGGACTATCTCTTTATGATACCCAGCACAGTCCTAGTCTTATTGAGCTCGTAATGCTACTCAAATAAAAAAGAGGAGAAAAAGTGACTTGGCTATATCCTGAATTTTGCAAACAGTCTAGTTGTCTTCTAATCATAAATAGAAGGAGAATGTATTTCTTCACTTTTCTCCACGTTATGGTAAATGTATTAAATAGCTTCGGTTCTTAGAGTCCGATCTCTAATAAAAGCTATCGGAGCATACAATTGGTATACCAATGTGTATATATACCAAAGGTTCAAGCTTTAAAAATAACTTTTTTCAATTTGAAAGGAAGAAGAGAGAGATACGAGAAACTACGGAACTGGGTTCAGGGTCTCGCCCAAAGACTTCTTATTTATTTTATTTTAAAATTCAGTTCCCAAGGTGAAAAAGAATGTATAAGTATTGTACAATGTTCGTCTTATCTATCCAATAAAATATGTTAAAATGTTTTAACCACAGCTACCAGGAGCCGGGTAAATTGCTAAAATACATATATTGTATATTCCCAGATTTACCGAAACAAAGTCACTTCTATTTAACAGGCAGATTAATAATGACCTGCCTTAAAGATCAAGTCAGAAATATTGTAAAGACTTTTCCAGCCGACTTTCTTGAAGATTAGCTTTAGGTATATTTGCAAGCCGAGTCGATTTGCATCCGTTGTCAGTTGTCGATCACGTGGGAATAGGAAGCTGAATTTTATTATCAAAAATGCCATTTAAATGCCATTTAAATATTGATTTCAATCGAAATTAAGCTATGCGAATCTCTAATCTTAAGTGGGCGAAAAAATTTGTAGACGAGGTTGGGCAAAGGAAGAGCCTTAGAGGTGACTAGAGCCCCAAAAATGTCGATGTGAATAGTTTGATAATTTTTGATAGTTAAATTTAATTCAATTTAAATTTAAGACTTAAATTTAATTAAAATTTAGAAATGTGTAGTACTTATAGACGAATAAGCAGCACTTACTTTGCTTGAGACTTTACTATCAAATTATGGATTATCGAAATGAGTATGAAAATGTTCCTCCTCACAAATTCCGCTTCAATCGAGTGCTCATCAAATTAAAGTTTCTTTTCCACTCGCGAGTTAATAGCCCAAATACGCCCAGCCACGCCCACTTCCACTTAACAGCGGCAATTGACACAAATTTGCCAAAAAAAAATGCGGAAATACGCAACAAACTTATTCTAATAAAATAGTTTATCGGGGACTTTAAACTGGCGTGTTCCGTGGAACAGAAGCAACTGAGCGCCAAAGGCTGCACGGGCCCATTTACATAAGGAAGCCGGAGAACAAGGAAAGTCCATGCCCGACGATCCGCAGCAAGTTGGCGGCGTTTTGCCTGGCCCCCCCTCCGTTTAGGGTGAGTAAAATAAACATTGAATTAACAAATTCCACGTTGCCATGGGCTACCCCAAAATTGATTGGGCCCCGCGATTCAGCGAAGCCCTCTGCCTGGCCTGCCTGCTCGAAGAAGAAGAAGTCACAATTATGTTTGGGCAACAAATGCAAATCGTGGCTCGAAAGCCGTAACCCACCCGGCCGGAGCATCTCCGCAATATTGCTCACAATATTCATGGCTGCGTTCCGCGCAGGGCTATTAATTTTGAGCTCTGTCAATGGGGCTAACCCGTTGCGTTGTTTTCTTCCTTTGTCGAATTTGTCAAGAAAATTTAACCACCAAAACGGATATTACCCGGCCTTGCCCGTGGCACGCCTTCAAGCTTCAATTCTGCGAAAAGCGTGAAACACGTTTGAAATGATTTTTCATATAAATCTTTGGAAATGAAAATCACCCACCAAATCTTTGTCCCCCATTTCCACTGTAAGGCGGAAATTTTGAATTTTCCAAAAAGTTGGAAGCACTCCTCAAATGAATTTGAACAAAGATCTTTGAAAATAAATTTGAGGCCGATCGGACGGTAAAGAAAAAAGTTGCATACAAACGTTTTTCCACAGCTTTTCCACACTTTCGGGTGGAATTGCACGAAATCCCGTCTTAATGTGAACCTACATCACATAAGGTAACTACAGTGAAAATTTCAGCTTCCTAGCTCTTACGGTTTGGGCTGTGCGTTGATCATCAATCAGTCAGTCAATCAGTCAATCAAAACGTTTTATATATAGAGATTTGTAAGGCAAGGAATGAGTTTGTCATTAGAATGAACAATTAACAAGAGGGAACGTTTATCTTTGGCCGTATATTAAATGCCCTTCAAGACATATGGATTAATTTTAATGAAAGTAATTTTATACTAATGATTGATTGTTCTGATAGAAGCTATATAATATAAAAAACTCTTCCCGATGAGACTCTGCTCACGTGAGTTTGGGGTGGACAGGTAAAATGTTCACCTGCTCCCCTGCTTCACACCTCTCGCGCATTCATATCCGATCTTTCTTTTTAGGCGCATTTTCGCAAGTTTTATATATTACACATATGGAATAAATTACCCGTCGTTGCCAGGCTCAAATGAGTAATCAAATTGCTTGTGTTATCTGATCCACCCTAGTTCTTTGTTATTAATAACGAATTTTTTTAAAAAGAAAAAAATGCTGCTAAAGTTGAACCAACGACTTTTCGCTTGTTAGTCCGACGCCTAAGCCTCGTTTGCAGAGCAGAATCTTTTGATAGAGCTATTTTTAACGGTTGAGCTTAACAAATAATTCTCACTTTCAGCCCAAGACGAAGCTTCAGTCAGTCAGTCAGGAAAAAACTCTTTTATATATAAAGTTAGTCTATTTTACAGATATTTTTTATCCATTTTTAATTGATTGAGATTGTTAAAAAGGTAATTGCAATAAGAAAATGTAGAGATCTTTTATCTTTTTGGAGATCTTTTATATTAATAAATACATAAATAAATATAACCTAAAGATTATCCCCCTTATAGACTTATTTTCGAATAAAATGATTAATGACTGAACATTGGTCTACATTTTTTTTTATATTTAAAAGGACTCAGAATTCTATACTATAGTTAAGTTGTCTCTCTTTAG